AAGTTTCTCAATGATCACAGCAACTTGGAATGACTCGTTCAAAGGCATTCCTTCAGCATGAATTTCATGCAAGATCACTTGGAACTCCTGGACTTGGCTTATCACAGTTTTAGAGTCTACCATTTTAAAATCAAGGAACCGGCCAACCACAAATTTCTTTGCCCCGGCATCCTCAGTCTTATACTTTTTGTCCAGAGATTCCCATAACTCTTTTGCTGAGCTCTTGGAACAAAACACACTATAGAGTGAGTCTGCCAAACTGTTGAACACATAGTTCCGGCAAAGATAGTCTGTCTGCTTCCATGTGTCAAGCGCCGTGACTTTCTGCCTATCAGGCTCATTCTCTGCCATGGCTGGAGGATCCTCGCTCAAAACCTTTGCAAGGTTTAGCATGGTCAAGTAGAACAGTATCTTTTGCTGCCATCTCTTGAAGTTCACCCCAGCAAATTTCTCTAGGCGCTCATGATGACTGAACGGTCCTCCTGGAACAGCCGGAGTAACGCCATGGTTGACCACAAAGGTCACAACAGTAGGGGTTGGCAACCCAGTTGCCCCGGGGTTCAGATCCCCACCAACATTAGCAGTAGCAGCAGCATCAGTGATAGTTGCCATTTCGAACAAATAAAACCTCCTTTTTAGCCAAGGCTAAACACTTTGGTTTCTATTCCAGAAAACCAAACCAAAATCCAAACTTACAAGCAATTTAAACTTGCAAACAATTTAAAATTGCTATAACCAAATACATGCATATAAAATGCGTCTAATAAGCAAATAAAACTTGCTACTACAAATTGGTAAACAAACCAACTAAATCTCAAGTAAAAAATTTCTTCAAACATAAAGAAAAATAACCAATCCAATTGAGGATTATAAGTAGTCCATACAATTCCTTTCTACGCTTAGGTATGCCTACAAAGAGAGTTAGTAGCAAACGACAACATAATATAAAGCAACTAATATAAAGCAATTGTACATACAATCAAATATTATTTAACCTTCTAGCAAATCATAGAATAGCAAAATAACTAAGGAATTAAGATACTATACAAGTTACAAAACCTTATAACTTCTACATTAAATTAAAAATTAATTGCCATAAATTATATAAGAATTTAATTCACAATAACCATGTAAATAAATATAGGCAAGTTACACAAATTTTATAACTCCAAAGAACTACATTTAATTCAAACTTTAATTCATCCAATTAAATCACACACTATTCATGGAAATCATAGAAGGGGAATGATGAACCATACTCATAAAATAAGATCAGAGTAATACAATTAAGTATACAAATTATGATAGGGCATTCTAATTAAACTAAACAATTAGAAAATCACATTGCATAATTTACAATCATTGAAATATGGAGCAATTCCGCAACAGTTCCTAATAACATTATACAAATGTCTATATAAATCTATTCGATCAATTTCATAGGAAAACATATATGAAAAATCTGTTTTAAGCTTGTTGTTCAAAATTTGAAATTAAATAAATAGATTTATGAAGAAATCAAATTATATATATACTAAGAACACATGCTAATAATTACAACTAAATTTCAACAGAAATACACAAAACAATAAAAACGTAAAGAGACAAAACCGAAGCCTGCACGGAAGCAGTTTCCTTAAAACAGATTTCGCCGTCTCACTGGTCGAGTGCTTGAGGAATCCCGGCGTCTGGCTCCCAGGATACGACGGTCAAAACCAGCTACGGCAGAAGCACTCTCTGTCTAGCTTAGCGAACAAAACAGTGGCAGTACTCTCTCATTGTAGGAACTTTCAAACAAACTGACTTGTGAAATGGAAATAAAAATTTCTGTGTTTGAGACTTGACAGGAGGGTCTCAATTTATACATGTATAGGGGAGAGAGGAAGAGCCTCCAGCCTTTGTGGCTGTTCATAATGCACCATTAACCTCTGCAACAAAGGCGGGAGTTACAAACCCCATTAATGTAGGAGTTACAAACCCCATTAATGCAGAAGTCACAAACCCCATTAATGCAGGAGTTACAAACTTCATTACCTTTTTTCCATGAAGCTAACTTCATGAGGTAATTTCTCATTCAAATCTCAATGGTTTTTGGCCATTCTATCTGTGGTGTAAAGATCTCAATGCAAAGTATCTAGACCCACTTGGACCCAACACAATAGATGGTTGGGACCCACTTTAATATTTAATTAAAGTCACCAAAAAACCATTTTTTCCAACAAAAAGATCATAAATTTTTTTTAACACAATCTCTATTTTTCAACCTCAATAACAGATTGTAATAAATACTATTTGATATGATTTAATAAAAGCATATGATTTAATAAAAGCATCAATAACAGCGTCAATTTGAACTGACAGCATCAATTTGAACTAAAAAAAGATCATAATATATATATATATATACGTACATAATAGATTATAATAAATAATGGCATATCAAATAGATCTAATATTAAAATACATAACAGCATATTAATTTGAACTAAAAAAGATCATAAAAAAGATCATAATATTAAAATCCCTAATTCAAAACACAATCTCTATTTGATATGAAAATAAATCACCATATATATATACATAATAGATTATAATAAATACAAAATATATATATATATATATATTCAAAAGATTGTTACAAAAGATTGCTTATATAACAGATTGCTTATTTTTCAACCTCAATATATAACAGATTGCTTATATATATACAAAAGATTCTTACCAGGTAAATAAGCAACCTCATGGACAATGGTGATAGTGGAGCTACGGTCCAACAATGGCAGAGGACCGTCGGAGGAACGTCGGAGCAAATGATGGAGGCACGGTGGAGGAACGACTGAGTAATGGTGGAGAGACGGCAGACCCAATCTAGACCCACTTGGACCCAACACAATAGATGGTTGGGACCCACTTTAATATTTAATTAAAGTCACCAAAAAACTATTTTTTTCAACAAAAAGATCATAAATTTTTTTTAACACAATCTCTATTTTTCAACCTCAATAACAGATTGTAATAAATACTATTTGATATGATTTAATAAAAGCATCAATAACAGCATCAATTTGAACTGACAGCATCAATTTGAACTAAAAAAAGATCATAATATATATATATATATACGTACATAATAGATTATAATAAATAATGGCATATCAAATAGATCTAATATTAAAATACATAACAGCATATTAATTTGAACTAAAAAAGATCATAAAAAAGATCATAATATTAAAATCCCTAATTCAAAACACAATCTCTATTTGATATGAAAATAAATCACCATATATATATACATAATAGATTATAATAAATACAAAATATATATATATATATATATTCAAAAGATTGTTACAAAAGATTGCTTATATAACAGATTGCTTATTTTTCAACCTCAATATTATTTTTCAACCTCAATAACAGATTGCTTATTTTTCAACCTCAATAAAAGATTGTTACAAAAGATTGCTTATACATATAATAGATTGCTTATTTTTCAACCTCAATATATAACAAATTGCTTGTATATATACAAAAGATTCTTACCAGGTAAATAAGCAACCTCAATGACAATGGTGATAGTGGAGCTACGGTACAACAATGGCGGAGGAACGTCGGAGCAAACGGTGGAGGCACGACTGAGTAATGGTGGAGAGAAGGCAGACCGAAACCCTTTCCGCTCACAAACTCACGTTTTTGGCTTCAATTGTTTTTTTGTATTTTACTTATAACAGGCTGTAAATTTTTTTTTTTATGCTGGAATAAAGATTGTAATAAATATAATATATGTGCAACATATTCAAAGGATGTCTAAGTAGCACAGTAGTTAAAGCGTGTTTTGCTTTCCGTCTTGCCTGGGTTCAAACCGTGTGAACAACCAAACAATTTTTTTTTTTTTTTTTTTTTTTTTTTTGATTTTTTTTAGAGCTGAAACGATGCCGTTTCAACTCACAGCAATAACTGCTGTGAGTTGGGCGCAGCAGTACCCCCGTATCCGTAATTTTGTGGGTGCAAGTCATTCCTAAAAATTTACGTAATTTTGTATAGAATTGTATATGGTATACATTGCACATTAGAGCATTTCCCAACAAATGGTGGTTGAATTATGTACGGCAACTCTATTTTTCAAAATAGATCATAGATTTTTGTGACAGACGTAATAAATTAAATATATTACGATTATTAAATTAATCTAATTTTTTTAATAATATATATATACAAAAGGATTTATAAATTAAACAATTTATATCATCAAAACGCCACATGTGATGAAGAGCGCTTGGACAAATTTTAGATATCAGTTGTTTTGGTTGTGTTGGTTGGTGGATTTTCTTTGTATATTGTTTGGTCAATCTCTTTTGTAGATATTAGTGTTTTTTTTTGTTGGTTAAAATTTTGGAATTAGATTGTTTGCTAATCTAACCGTTTATGATCTTTAAATTCTGGTTTCTTTGCCAAAAAAGAATTCTATGAATAGTTTTTCTGTTATGTTAACTCTCAGATGAGAACTAAGTGTGTGCGATTTTCTAAGATTCAACATTTTTCTCTATAATGGAAAATGGTTTAATCTTCTTCTTGTTCTGTGAAATTTAACAGTATCAAAGACAGAAATATGTTTGTTCTTCTCATAATGTGAATTGTTGCAATAATAGTATTAACCCTTTTGTGACAGCCTAAATGGGTGCATTTTGCAAGAGATTCTTGGTTACACAAGATATCAAATGTTGGTCGGTAAAAACAAAAGTGGTTGCATATTCTTTCTTGAAAGAAATCTCCACAGAGCCATCTCGTTTATGAATAAATGTAGGATCAGTGGACTGGATCGGACAAGAAATGTGATAATTCATGTTTTTTTCATAATTTGTAACCAAGAACCAAGGAAGAGAACAATATGGCCGCAAGAAGAGAACACGTAGTAAATATACACCATACAGATTTAGGTCTCACTTCAATATCTTAAAGAAATTCAGCGAAAACAGTTTACCTTTCTCTTTACAAAATAGTCGATCAAATTTTGCTAAAGATCAATTCATATTAAACAAATGGTGGTTGAATTATGTAAAAACGAATGTAGTACAAATAGCCAAAGAAAGTGACATGGCCGCTCTTCACAAGTCACAAGACTCTTCTAAGCCAACCTAGCTCTAAAAGACAACCTACTTGAATCAACAAAGCTCAGACAACATTGTGAAATAAAGAACATACAGTCAACCATTCCAACTTCAAATGATCTATCATGGGTCAAACTGTCACAGGCGAGGATGGTAATATGATCCAGTTTACAACATTCTTCAACCTTAGTCGCTTTACCTTGGATCACATATCTCTTTCAATGCAGCTTCCTTGTTACTGGTTTTCTTTGATACATCCCCGAGTTCTTCTGAGTGCATACAAGCTGCCACTGATGCAATCCTTACAGTGTAATTCACATTTTCTGTAGAAAATGAAGCCAAATTAACGATAAACTGGTTTGGAGTTCAGAGTTTCAGGCTTGTCTAAATCAGGTGATCTGCATTTATATAGCTAATCAACAGTACCCAGATAAGCTCTCCCTAAGAAGTTGAACAATTAGGTCGAATCCTTTATGCCCAGGTCGTCAACACAAAACTCTTTCAGTAATTGCTCTCAGCTAAACTACAGATGGAACTATGGAGACTCATCTTCCATGTTTTGTGTAGACTTGACTGTTTTAGCATAAAGTTGTGGGACCTCCAAAGCTGATTGAGCATAAAGTTGTGGGACCTCCAAAGAAAATAACCTCTTGAACGATTCATATGAAGCAAAGAAGATTGCTCCTTGAGAAATATACATAACCAATCTCGGAACCAAGCCCCTGACCAAACGTAATTTTTACAGAAACACAGTATCAGAAGATCAACAAGTAATAAACTTTGATATTGTGCTCAGGAAAGCTACTTGAAGTATATTTCTGCTTATTTGTTTTTGGCATTCTAGTAGTAGTAGAGTACTGATGCTTCATTCCTTTTGCGGTATACATATATAAACTGCAATTATAGGCAACTAAGGGAGGATACACCAAAAAGTGTTGTTTGGATTTTGTTAAGAGAATGTTATGGTTCCCAATTATTTCGTTCAGTTAAGGTGAATGACTCATGCTACAAAAATCACACATGGAATGGTTCATCATAAACCAGAATGTGCTTCCTGCACTCAATTAACAAGTATGGAAAAGTTTTGGAAAATGTTCTATCGGCCCAATGCATTCAGATATTCTTTCACAAAAATGAACTATGGGAGATAATCATAAAGACGTGATGGGAACTCTTGGCAATACACCACCACCCCACCACCCCTCTGCAAACTTACCTGTATAGACCCTTCAAACCTTCATGCATGGCTATTTCTTTAAGGGTATTAAACACGCCATCATACTGGTGAATAGATCCAGGAATCTGCAAAACATTCTTATCATCAGAAGCATTCTGACCCATGTGATGTGTTAATAGGCATGAAATCTGGCAATCAGCTTTCATATATATATATATATATGCCTTTCTTGTAAGTAGAGATCATACACCAATTGCTCTTTAACTAAAACAGCCCATAGGTGCATTTGGCATGTGAAATAACCTACTTGCATTACAAAGAAAGGCTTAAAAAGTAACTCAATTGCAAGATAAAACAAACCCGTGTCTGTAGTCTTGTCTTCACCACATCAAAAGGAAAAACTATATGCTTAGCCTAAGCGGGAGCATATATACAAGCCCAAATATATCTAGATATGAAGAGCCCTGCAACAGGCAGCACCATGGCCCCGCAGGGCCCATGGTCCTTCATACCTAGCTCCAAGGCCAAACAACAATACAATCAGCCCCCGGCTCACTTATACTTGGATTGATAAACAATGGCTCTCCTAAACATTGAGATAGGCCTGCGGCCCACTCTCTTACTTGATCGCTCAGAAGCAAGCCCCTCTCTTAAACATTGAGTTAAGCCCGCGGCCCATTCTCCTACTTGGTCATTTGGAAGCGAGCCCTCGGCTCTCTTAAACACTAAGGTGGGCCCTGGCCCATTTATCTACTTGGATGCCTGGGTTGGGAGCAGGACCTAGGCACTACTGCTCGGGATCATCAGAGGATACTGGACTGGCGGCTGAGGTCATGGGATCGTCGAGATAGTTGTCTTCTTGCTAAGACAACTCTATCTTGACCAGGCTTGGAGAAGAGGCAACAATGACCTTACGTTCATGTCATCCGATGCATATACGAAACGTTACTTTCTGCCTGCCACGAAACGTTGCTCTCCGCCTGCCGGCAAGCCACAGACGGCAGAAGGGCTTATATCACTTCTGGCAGGGTTGAGGAGAGCGAGCCACCTGTCCAACAGTTTGCTTGGGCTCCAATACTCCTGCGGCCTATATAACGTATCGTATATGCAGTGAGACACAAGAACAACAATACAACCAAGTTCCATGCTAAAACACTCCCTCATACTTTATATTAGTGTTCAAAGGTCTATCACTGCCAACCTCTCCCTCTCCAAGCTTGCCTTGACCTCCTCCTCTCCACCTCCGGTGATCCCAAGCCATCGAAGTGCCCGCCATCTTCCCGGACTACCTCTAACCACACCTCTCACCCACACTTGTAAGTAGAGATCATACACCAATTGCTCTTTAACTAAAACAGCCCATAGGTGCATTTGGCATGTGAAATAACCTACTTGCATTGCATTACAAAGAAAGGCTTAAAAAGTAACTCAATTGCAAGATAAAACAAACCCGTGTCTGTAGTCTTGTCTTCACCACATCAAAAGGAGTTGTAAATAGAGCAGCTGTGGATCCAGCTAACCCCCCACAAATCAGCTGTAAGAATAGGAAGCAATTATCTTGGCTAATTCTGTAAATACAGTGGAATAAGACAGCTCTAAGCGTCAAGAGATGCCTGAGTCGATTCAGTGTTTAATGTAATGATACTGCTCATCATAAGCAGCATCACCAGTCATAGACAGTTAAAGCAATATGATAATATAACCAGTTACCTAAAAGCCTAACACTAATGTAAAATAGGATGAAATCATCAGAGTGGACAGAAAGTGGACAAACAAACCGTCTGTAATGTGTTAGGTTGAGCATTTGATTCCTGAGATGATAACATTAATTGCTTCAAGCTTTCATATGTGTAGAACTGCATATGTTGGAAAAAAAATACTTGAAAAAATAACCTAAAAATATGTTGTAAAGAAGTACCCAAGTATTAGTAAAAGACAGGCTTGAGAGAGAGAGAGAGAGAGAATGGCAGACACAAGCTAGTCTGATGTAATGACCATGATTTCATAAATCTCGACCTCACCTTGATGACAGAGTGTGGAACATTCCTGCAGAGTACCGCTCCCCATCCAGCATACAATGAAGGCAAACCACCCTTTTTGATGATCCCAACCATGCGATGCATTCCTGCAAAGATCCACAAATGAAACATAAATCTCAATGGAAGAATTGCAGATGAACTAAAGTCAGCGGTGCGGCTTGTGTAAAGGCGACAAGAACATTCTATATTATAACTTCAATGTGAAATGCAAAGCACAGAGAAATTTTTTCAAAATATAATATAAGGCACATAATTTCAGACTTTCAACAATAGAATTACAAGTCCACGGTATGAACAGATTGAATCCATGCACCACATTATCTCATCAAATTATACAATGAAAACTTATTACAGAGACAATCCATGAACGGATGCATACAAGTATCAGATTTCAAAGGAATCTTGCAAGTGTGCACTATTGATCACCTTTGTTGAAGCACTTAGATATATCACTAAGCACTGGGCTTCTAGTTTGAAGTTTGAACTTTACAATGCTCAAGGTCAATGTAATATAGCATTGAGCATCAATTATCCGATACAATTACACAAACATGAAACCAAACATAATGCCTTTCTTAGAGTGGTCAATATTAAGCTTGTAATATTGGTAAAGACACCACCAGGATGTTAGAGAAATACCAACAGTTTTGATAGTGCGAACCAACTTGCATCTGCTGCTTTACGCGCTCACTGGGAGTGAAAATAAAAGAGGTCGCAACACTAGCACAACCACCTGCCATGCAATGGGCAATTGACCGATACTCCTGCACCAAAGAAATGAGTGTGAGATTTCTGGAACAAATTAAGCATCAAATTTAAAACCAATTGTGCATACAGTAAAGTAAACTTTGGGGCAAAAACATACCGAGAGAGAGAGAGAGAGAGAGAGAAACATCTCAAAAGAAAGGAGAAAAATAAAGTTGCACAAAAAATAGCAAAACAATTTCACCTTTGGAAAAAAAGGAAGGAAAGCTCCTTTTGCTGATTCATATGTGAAGGTGTAAACTGCAGAAATTGGTGCTGAACAAGCAATGTTGCTAGCAATTCCACGATAAAGTCCTTTTACTCCTGCAACAAAATTAACACCAAGTTATTCAAGTCATAGAGCACTTTTTAGTCAAAGAAAAAACAAGATCAGGTACTTCTACCAACCATAATCTTCTGCATTTCCCCTAAACCAACTTACCTCTTTCAGAAATGATTGATCTGCCAATGTAGTGGAAGGATCTCTGATCAGCGTGGCAGGACTGAATGACAGTTTTTATCGTGTCCATTGGATGTAGACAAAGACTAACAAATACACCAGCCAATGCTCCAGCAAAAGCATGCTCTTGCTTTGCAAGTCCATAATGAAGTTTATTATTTGTTGGTGAGCTAATCTCTATTTTAGATTTGTCTGTCATAATGAACTCACTCTGTTGATTCTTTTTGCTCTCATGCAGGTGAGCATCCTCATTTTTGTGTTGGCATTCTTTGTAAGCATGATTATCTAAAGCATGAAGTCCCAAAATTGGGGTCCTCAAAACACTACCATTTGCTTCTGTACTTTGGGGAGGCTCGGGGAAATAATCGGAGCAAAGAGATGTAATAGGTGCCTTTGCCACACACGTGCTTTGACCTGATGATGAATCCTTACATTTGGTTAATTGAGCATGGCAGTCAGCACTTTTGATGGTAGGGTTATTGGCAGGACTGCCTGTATCACCTACATTACAGCAACTTGTAGGACTAATATATCCAGAAAGGCAGCAGTCACCAGTTTTCTTGCTCTTGATCTGGGTAGAGTTTACCTGATGTTTTAATCCAGAAAGTGATATTTCAGTCATCCATCCATACATATTTCTCAAATCATAGAAAACTCCCACTGCTGCAGAACTCTTCTCCTTCCAAGGCTCATTAGGGATGTTGGAACCACCCTGCATGAATTTCCTTAGAAGAGAATGCGTATAATTTCCATTATGAGGTTCAAAAAATGATATCTTCTTAGATACTTTCAGACACTCTAAGTTTTCCTGTACCATGGGTGAAGAAGAATGGCCAGTAGTCATCAAATTAACTGGGAAATGTTGACCCTCCTCAGATGAGGTAGATGACCAGCCATTTCCTTTCCCACCTGAATAACGAAATACATTCTCTTCCTGAAAACCACCATCATTGTGTCTCAAATTTGATTTAGGTTGGAAAAAATCCAGGGAACGACTTGCACAATTCCATATCTGGCCAACTGCTGAGATGAGCTCAGCCGTGCTTAGTATCTCAGAAGACTTTGGTTCAGATTTTCTGCTATTTTGCTTACCATTACCAGACGAGGTGGGGGCATAATTTCCGTCATCAAAATCAATAAGCTCAAAGGAAGCCCCCTCCAGTGGGCTACACCCATATTTTATTGAAGGTTTATTGCTTCTTGGAGGTTGACTACGCCTGGTCATTCTTCTAAAATATTTCAAGAATTTCCTTGAAAAAGATGATTGTAGATGGAAACGTAACTGCAAAATGAATCAGCAGGTATATTACTAGACATGATAGTTAAAAAATCACTAGTTCAAATCTCTGGAGCTGAAGGCCAAACAAATTTAATTAATGCCACAATTCATGTACTAAGAATAATGCAATCAACTAACAATTCCAAAAGATGACAAAATCTAGGATTGGGCTACTTGTAAATATTTTTCCATCCTGGAAATATCCCACTGATAAAAATATTTAAAAATCAAGATTTCAAGTCAGATAAAGTGGAGGTGGGAGTGGGTGGGTGCTATGTTCAAAACATGGTTGAATTCAGAATCCCATGACTCTATGAGATAAGTATTGAACACTCCTATATTTGAATTGCACTAAAATATTGCAGAATCATTAAATACACATGTAGACACAATCAGGGCTCAACCTAGAGATTTATGTTTTCATTTCATTACTACTAAATAATGAACAATCCTATGCTTGAGATTTAAAACCTCTTCTTTTTTTCTTTTTTTCTTTTTTATACAATTTCACAGGAATCAAAACCAAGCATTACCAACAAACAAACAAAAAATGCAACAAACCCATTTACCAGTCAAAAAATTATCTCTTATGTTATCCAGATTCAGCCCCCTTTGGTCTACTGAGATACAGCAAGCTGATTAGCATAGCAGGACCCCTGATGTGAACAGAAAAACCCCAAAAATCAGCTCCTACTCCACACTCAATCAAGGAAAAAGCTTGAGACTCCTAAAATATGACCCCCTAAATTTACACACAATGATGTGGATTACTCACTGTCAGTTATTGAATTTTGGGCGTCATGTTTTAGGGATCTCTAACATTTCTCCTAAATCAAAAGCCCCAAAGCAAAGGTGAGTCCAAATACCATTATCACCTACATAATTACATATATATATATATATGTATAATGTGTGATTACAAATTGAAATTGCTTTGCGATTCAAGTGAGTACAAATTGTCAACGAATAAAGCAACTGAAAAGTTTTCGATTTGGTTGCTCAGAAAAGGTAGGAAAAGCAATTGAATCTTAAAATTTTCATTATTAATAATGTTCCATTCTTTTCCTTAGCTTTCTCAGCAACCAAACAGAACACCAACAAAATATCACATACAAAAGACATATTCTACGATAAGTTCGAGTTTTGGAGAAACTAAACCTTGATAGATTTAACTGTTCTCGAGCCGGAAGCACCATCTCCAGAAGTCTCCGATTCATTTTCCCGAGAAAATCTGGACTTTTTCCTGCGTTTTCCCGGGAAAATGAGGGGTTTAATAAGATGGTGAGGTTTAAGCAGTTGAGAAAGCATAAATTCAAATTGCTGGGTACAACGACAGGGGTTTATATATATATATACTGATTCACTGTCTTGGTGCTAACATGAGCCATTAGTGTTCTTTTTCTTAGTTGGAAATTGCCGGGAAAATTCTGGTGTTACGGACCCTACTGTATGCAATTTTAACCCCACATGACCAAAGTTGATCATGTGGTCCTATCTTAATCCATAAAGGTAATAGATTTGGACGGAAGGCTGCTGTTTAGAGTTGTAAGATGTTATTTTAATAATTTGAATATTTTATTTTTGTTAAATATTTCGTATATTTTATTCATAGAAAAAATTAAATTTATTCAATAATTAAAGGAAAATTTACCCATAAGTCCTAGTTTTTTAAACGTTGAACCATTTAGTCCTAAAAGTTTTCTTATGCTCCATTTAGTCCCATTTTTACATCAAGAAGGTTGTTAACATGAAATATATTAAAAAAGAAAGAAAAAAGATTGAAGGTATATTTAACTTTTGTTGTGAACCTTAAAAAAAATAAAATAAAATAAAATTGTTAAACATTAAATATATTAAAAAAGAAAGAAAAAAGATTGAAGGTAATTTAACTTTTGTTGTGAACCTTAAAAATAAAAAATAAATAAAAAATAATCTGATGTTATTAACATTGTAATGGGACCTTTCAGTCTATAAGAAAATTTTTAGGACTAAACAGTGCATAAGTTATTAATTTGGGATTTATTGATGCATCCCCCATAATTAAAATATATTTACTTTATGTATTTATTTTCAAAAAATAGGATAACAAATTCAATAATTTGAATAGATTATGATTACGGATCACTTTAATTTTTTAATAAATAAAATATATAAAATATTTAATAAAATAAATAATTCGGGGATTAAAGTGAGTGAGAAAAAATCCATATCCATTAAGAAATGGGGAAGGTGATACCCATGAAGAATGAGGAATGAAAAATAGAGAAAATTTATTATAAAAAAATGAGAATGAAAAATTAATATCCATCCTATTATCCCTCATTGGCATCCCTAATGATCAACTCATAGGAGACGGTCCTACACCCATATGGCGGAGAGAAGATCGATCATGTAATTAAATTTTTGTGTGAATAGGAGAATTGTTTTGAATCAAGGGCTCGGTGGTGATTGGTTGATGCTTTTGACTAAGATGATCTTCTTGGTTTGAGTGGATTTGATTGCTGTTGTAACTCTCTTGTTGTTTGTGCGTGGTAGGAGATTATTTTGGGCTTAGGTTGGCGAACTTTCCTAGGGATGGCCTTATGTTGAAAGGACATTTTTGGCATTAACATGTTGAGTATTTTTTTGTCTTGGGCTGGTTTTAGGGTTGGATTATGGGCCGGTATTAGGCTAAAAATGGTTTTGAAATAATAGGCCCAGCCTATCAATGGTACGAGGTTGGGTTCGGCCCAGGATAACGGGCCATTTTTACAGTCTCATTTGTGAGGTTATTTATAGGTTTTGGGTTGGGTTGCCTAGAGTGGCCAAGGTACAACAGTCCATAATCTTTGGTAGAGCCCACTAATTTGAATTATTATCAACTAGGTTATTCATATGAAAAAAACTTACAACCAAGCAGTCAAATCATATTTATCTTAAAAAAATAAAAAATTTTAGAGTAAATTATATAAATAGTTTCTGTAGTTTATACGATATGTCAATTTGATTCTTATTGTTTTAATTTGCTCGATTTTACCTCTTAATTTGACAAATTGTGTTACTTTAGTCTAATAGAAAACGGTTGTTAAGTTTGGTGAATAAAAAGTCAAACTATGTGTCAATTTGGTTCTTATAGTTTATACAATTTTTTAATTTAATCTTTGTCAAAATCAAACAAATTAAAATAACAGAGACCAAATTGATACATTGTGTAAATTATGGGGACCAAATTGACACAATTGTGTAGACTTTCCATCCACCAAACTTAACAACCGTTATTTATTGAACTAAAATGACACAATCTGTTAAATTAAGGCGCAAAATAGAGCAAATTGAAACAATATGACCAAATTGACACATCGTGTAAATTACAGAGACTATTTGCATAATTTACCCCAAAGTCTATAATCAAAATCACCCAAAATCCAATATCACATTTGTGATCTAATTTTTTTAAAAATAAATTATAAATACACTTCATAAAATTTACTTAAAATACTAATTGCCCCTTACAGTCATAAATATTGCATCTCACCTTTTAAATTTTATAATTGCATAATAAATAGCTCCTTTCATTAATTAATCATTAAGTTAATTAATAATTTTTAATGATATCATCAATATACTTCAATAAACAGTTTTATTGTTGTCTATTAAATGACAAATTTTGATGGAAGGGTTTTTATAATTTTCACAATTACAGAGAACAATCTATATTTTAAGTAAATCTAAAAGGTATATTTGTAATTTATCATTTTTAAAACAAATATAATTTAATTATGTGATTAATGATATTTAGTTTATGGTATCTTAATAAATCTTATAGAATGAACTGTACAAATTTTATTGGTGAGCCCAAATTGAACCTCACTTAACAAGCACCAAATCCATTAAACAAGAAAAAAAAAGTTTACAATTTATGAACACGCGTGAGTTGTAACAAAAATTAAATGTCCCAATGTTACAAGGATTTGATTTAGGAAACCATTTTGATCTCACTTTCCTATTATGAATCTGATTCAGCATATTTAGCATTATTTGTACATGTATATAAACATAGCAACCCCCGTAAACCCTATTCATCTTTCTAAAACCTTCACTCTCTTCTACAAAATCATCAATGGAAACAAACCCATCTCCTTCGAGCACTCATTCTCCGGTTTCCGAGCCAGTGGCTTCAACTTCAACCATGAATCCCTCAAACTCCATTACCATCATCATCAAAAACAACAACCAAGTCCCCCAAGAAGATCAAAGAAAAAAGGAAGAAATTTGGGTTTTCGGGTTATCTGTTGGGATCAATAACGATAAATGTGATATGAAGAACTCGAAGCTGTATGAAGTAATGATGTCTCCGATCATGAAGAAGAGGAAGATTTCTGAAAGAGAAGAGGGTTTTCAATCTTTTTTTCCATCCAAGAAAACAACTGACAATTACTTGTTGATCAAGCAAGAACTTGAAAGAAAGAGGATTGAAGATAGAATCAGAAGCTTCCGGTTCTACACTCACGGGGAGTGCAGAGAAGAGATGGATTTGGGGGTGTCGACGAAGCTCAAGCTCTTTGAGGATCCATGGAAGATCAAGAAAACCCTAACATCAAGCGATGTGAATGAACATCTTTGTCGGCTCTTGTTGCCTGCGGGAGCAGTGGACAAGCATATAATGGCGGTGTGGGGTGGAGAGAGGGTGGAGCATGTTAACAACATGCGCTGTGAGAGGGTGGTGGTTTGGGATTACGACACGGGTTCTGAACATAAATTGGTGTTTAAAAAATGGCACACGAGTAAGAGCTTTGTGTTGGTGGATAATTGGGTGACTCGGTTCGTGAGGAGGAGGGAGTTGACGGATGGAGATGAAATCGGACTTTTTTGGGATGTTAGCAATTCAAGGTTCGGTTTTCGTGTTCTTGCTCGGAGGGTGTTAGGTTTTTGAATTAAGGTTTTGGCTCAAAAGGGTGTCAAGTTTGACAAAAAAAAGTTGGTGTTAATGCAAGAATGTGAATACCATAGGAAGTATATGATCTAAAGACACAGTTCTAGTTTTCTGTTTTTGTTTTTGTTTTTATTTTTATTTCTTTATTTTTTTATTTTTTTTAAGGAGTAGAAGAAAGTATGCACAGGGCATGAACTTAAGCACATTAGTTTTTGTTTTGTGTAGTGGGATGGATTTGTTTTCGATCTTTAATTTGTGCTGAATTTTTCTTTTCAATATAATTTTATTCTATTCAAAAAATATACTATTGTCTTCCGAATTGTTTGATTGACTGAAAACACTAATATTATACATTCTGAATTTTACCATGTAAGTTTTCCGTTGAACTAATATAATTGCATTGCTGGTAAAAAGACAAAAAGGAAAAAAATAGTATGTTAATGATTTTAATTGTTACAAATTGCACTCAAGAAAGTTGGTATTTATGAAACAGTTTTAATTTTTCTCTATAATTATCTCTTCTGAGATATTACCAAATCAAGAAGACGAGAAAGAAGAAGCCAAACCAAAATAACTAATTCGAATTTCAAGAGTAAATTAATAATATTTTGTTCTTATATTTTATTATTTATATGCGATATTATAATAAAATTTAATGAATTATAATCATAGTAATGAATAGATTAATAGTTAAAACATTCATTGTTCTCCTTGAGACTATCCTCAAAACTTTGACCTATTAAATAAGAGACCAAGAGGATTACATATAAATTTTTAACAATGTTAAAAATGCTAATCACAATAAAATAAAATAAAAAAGAAAAGAAGATAGAAACATTAACAAATATTAATATTTTATTACTATGTTGAATATAATACATATAAATTAAAAATAATGGACTACCCAAAAACTCATATTTGGTTTGGATTTCAAAATTTTATTTCAATTTTTTCTTAAAAAAATATTAGAAATTAATTTTATGAAAAAATCAAAAAGCACTTATTTGGAGAGAAAAAATAAAAGTTTAAATTTTTAAAAATATTTTTTTGATATTTATTTTTGTCAAATTAATTTATACTTTTTTTATAAAAAAAAATAAAAAATTAGAGAATGAAAACAAACATGGAGCGAGGAGTTTCTAATGAAGATCGGAAACACTAACAAGGAAAGAAACGTAATTTTATTTTACAAAAGTTTAAAAGAAACACATAAAAAATAGAATTGTCTGAGCCCGGGTTCGAACCGGGGACCTCTAGTGTGTGAGACTAGCGTGATAACCGACTACACCACCCAGACGATGCAGGAGCTTTGTAATTTTAATTATATATACTTAATATAAAAATTTATTTTATATATTTATTTTATGTTTTTTCATTTCTCTAGATGGGTACTAGAATCAAGTTTACAAAGTTACCCATAACTTGAGTTTTTGCATAATCATAATTTTGTTAACCAATGGATTATTCATCTTACAGAGCACTTTGAATAAAGTGTTCATACAAAAAAATTAAAATTATTAGACGTTAGTAGAAATATGATCGAATTATATTTGTCTTTAAAAAATAAATAATTTATTCTTAAAATCACATAGATTATCTATTTTTTAAATGTAATAAATCTAATTTTTAGATAGATGATTTATTCAATGGGCTCAACAAGTTGAAATACTCAAATCACTATAGTGGATCTTCAATAAGCCCACCAACCCCAACAATACCTAAAATGCCTCGTTGGAGAGAATTCCTTTTAATTTTGAAATTATAATTCCCCTAATGTGGTCGTGTTACCATTGATAAAATTTTAATTTGATTTGGTTTTACTTTTCAAAAATTAAAAATATTTTTACTTAATTAATTATATTTGTTTTCCGTTCACTTCAATTTTCCATCCGATCAACCATCAAAAAACACAAAAATATATATATTTTGTAAAAAATATTTTTTGCCAAAACAAAAAAGAGCGTAAATGGAGTATACAAATCATTCTCAATTGTAATGGCATAATCGTGGACACTTGCATGACATATTCTCAACAATACTACATACCAAAAAATTATTAAAAAATTACTTAGAAAACTAAATCTATATCTATTGAACACATTGTTTTAAGTAACATACATCTCACTATCCATAGCCAACTACACTTCCTGCTATGTCACACGTTACTAGCTTTCAAGTCAAGTACCACATCATAGTAAGTTCGTTGATCGCGTTAGAAAAAGGAAATGAAACCTAGAATCTTTACAATCACCAACACAAACCCTTAACAACTTAATATACGAAGATGGACATGATAATGAATCTCACCCTACAGAAGTTACATTATGATCATATCATCGATGGCTGTACAAGTATTTTGTGTAATGGAGGCCTGTGAATGGGTTAAAGATGTGAGGAATGGTAGAGCAAATGGTTACAAACAAGAAGGTTTGCAAGAGTTCTTCCGTGGCCTAAGTAGTCTTCTTATTTACTGCCATCGTTTGCCGGTCTTGTTTGAAGAGGAGCTGCCAGCACTTGTTTTCTTTGAGCCTGAGAAGCGAAAAATAAATATACTCTTGATTAAATTAATTGATCTTACAGTTAAGAGAGTAATGAGGAAATTGTTCTGTTGATCCCCCAAGAAAACAGTTAAAAGACTCAAAAACTCGTATTTTTTGTAAAATTAAGCATAGAGATCCAGCAACAGGAGACAGAAAAATAATTGAATGGTTCTGAAAGGGTCTATCAATAAAGTTGTTTTAGAAATCGTTTCCAGGAAAAAAAGTAGATAAACAAAAGGGGAATCGAATTGAGAATCAAAGAAAACAGAAAGGAAATGAAATATATATAAGTACTTCTGGGAACAAAAATAAGTTTTGCATTAAAGAAAAGATGTTACATACTTGATGAAACTTTTGAAAAGCCACTAGTCAATGACAACCGAGAGGATCCTTTATGTCCCTGCTTTTGTGGAGGTCTAGGAAGTTTAGCTGGCACACTGGGCCTGCAATCCACCATGATAGAAACAGAATTACATGGTCTAATCATGGTTGTTTACTATGTTGCGTAGCCAAGTAAAAGTTCTGATATTCCCAATTGCAAGCAAACACAAAAATGCAGAGAATCAAAATAAAAGTGTAATCTGCAACCAATCAAGCTCAATTATATAGGTGTCGGTGCAGATTGTGTCCAAGTGTTGGATTCTTGTAATTCTCATGTCCAAGGACACCAAGACACAATTAGATTTCACATGTCTTTAATGTTTTTTTATTTTTTAGGTCAAAAGTGATGATTATGAACTAAATATAGCATTTTATTCATAAGATGAAAATCTTAATCATACTATCATAAACTCAACTAGAATGAGTGTCTAACATGGATACTTCACAAATTTAGAAGAGTCCACGTGGGCCAAGCCACAACACCAAATAGTACAGGAAAGCTGTATTAAAGAACATTAGAAAAGGAATTATGCTGGTTTTTCCGTTGTGGATAACAAGAAATATGATATCAATCCCAAACCTGTCCAATAAACATAAGTAATGAACAAAAGAAAAGGCAAAATACAATAATACTTACGAGCAAAATTCCAGTAGACATTTTAAAATGTGAATGAGACGAGAAATATTTAGTGTGTATGCAAGAGATAAAATTCCAAACCAATAAAAATTAAGAAGGCAGAAGAATTCACTAGCACTTGAACACTTGAGGATGAAAACTACTCACTTTTCTGCGCTATCTATTCGTAGTTTTGCAGTTTCAGGGAAAAGAGTGAACTCCACAATACTATTCAACGAACCATCAGTTTCTGTTCCCATTGAAAGTTCACCATCAGATATGTCACTTAATCTCTCCTCATGATCTGCATCCCCAAATCCCAGAAGTTCAATGTCTTCCGTAAGATTTTGACTTCCATCTACTAAAGCAAGCCTTGATTCAATGTCTTCTGTGGGATTTTGACCTCCATCAGCTACAGCAAGTCTTGATTGTTGAAACAATTCGTTATGGTGTCTAAAATCATCCGTTGACTGCTGAGAACCAGCTTCAGAATGCTTATCACTGTACTCTGAGCTATTGTCTCTATCAGAAACTGCTTTCTCAGCAAGTCCAGATCTTTTCCCCCCTGACAGTGCTCGGCTTTGCCGTGGAGACCCTATGGAATGTCTTCTTGGAGAGGAAGACCCATGCCGTGGTGAGCTCATACCTTGTCTCTCATCATTTACACTAGTTTTAACCAGCCGCAACTTTCCAATCTCTTCATCTTTCTTAGCAACTGCATCCTTTAGCGAAGCCACCTGCAAAGTCAACAGAAAATCAGAGAAATTCAAATTGGCTTCAAAAAAAGAAATCAGCTTCACAAAAATTTAACATATGTTCTTGAGTTTGTAATCAGATATATCCCAATGAGCCATTTTACCAAATTGTTGCAATTGATGTTCGATCCTGAAGGAAGGAAAGCATTCTGGATTTTGTTTTTCAAAAAATAAAAAGACATCAGTGCTCAAGCTTTGTATCAGGCCCGCATCAGCTGGCCTTCTGGTACGGCTTTAAATAAGTCAAGATGAGTAGCAGAGTGTTTGATCTCAGCTCGTTGAAAATTAATTGAGCTTGAGCTTGAAAACAAAAAATATATACACCCTTGTGTTCACAAGCCTACTTAAGCCGAGCAAGGGTCTGCTCAAGCACGGTTCAATTACTAAACAAGCCCAAAAATTTGGCTCAATATGATGGATAAATAGAAGTAAATTACCCCATGTTTGCCTCGTTTATCAATTCTATGAGTCTATACCATTTAGTGAAATTTACACAATGCACAGTAAAACAGGGAAAGGGCAAAAACAATTTGAAGTGTATTCTACAATTTTTTTATTATTTTCACAATTAAAATTCGTCTCATTAAATCAATATAGCGAATAAACACTAGCAAATAAACACTGACAGTAAACTGCAGAAGTCCCAATAATGAAAATTATGAGTCATGAAAGAAACCAATATGAACCTGATCCATGAGTTCTCTGACACCTCTTCCCTCTTTGTTGCTCTGTGCAGCACCTAACTCAACACCAGAGACCCTCTCAGCGAACTTCAATGTACTTATAGTTTCAGAGTAGGACTCAACATCAGGATTGAGCTGCACAAACATGAGGGTCTTTGCTTGACCACCTATAATGTAAAACCACCGCAGAAAATATGAAGAAGGATTAGCAAATCCATGAAAGAAAATGCTCAAAAAAATAATCAGTTTTAAACTTAAAATGGCTAAGCATGCCATGAAGCAGTGTAGTTTATATTAAACGATCGCTTTGAAATGGGAAAGAACGTGGATGTACCCAGAGAACTTTGAAGGACTTGAGTTATTTTGCTATTTCGGTATGGAACATGAGGGCTCTTTTGTGCAAGAGCGAAGACCACATCTCCTAGAGCTGATAGCGATTTGTTTATATGTTGAGCTTCCCTTAGCCTGTCCCCTGTTGCTTCAGAGCGATCAACTCTTTCACTGCCAGCTAGATCTACCAAGTGTAGACTACCACGCAAAACAGCATCAGTCTCCAAATCCACACCACGAACATGAACAGTGAGGACACTGCAACATAAAACTTCAACAAAAATATGTCCAGGAACAAAGCTGTATATAGAGTAGGAAACAAACAAAACAACCTTTTTTTATAAATTGGGAATAAACAACTAATATCAGCAAGAAACCTGTGGGATCGGCTGCTTCTTTCATTTAGGGCAGTAGCACCTACAGACCTATTCATTAATCCAATAGTCATCAATTCCAAGACATCTGCAGTTGATGTAACAGGATGCATGCTAGCATCAGGGACAGCTAACCCATTTGGTTGGGCAGTATTCCAAATCCCAAGTGTGTGCAAGTCAAAGGAAACAAAAGTTCTATTATGCCAAAACAAAGAATGAAAAGAACAATGTTTACATTAAACCAAAAGCAAAGGCAACAAGAACAAAACATTGTAAAAATGATTTCATGGAAATACCAGTATTTTAAGAGTGTGTGTGCGCGTGCGCGCGTGTGAGAGAGAGAGAGAGAGACCACAGTTGATTAAAAGTGGCATTCAGCCATGTCATATAGACAAAATTTACAATGGAAAGGATATCTTTTCTGAGAAGTGTCACTAGAGAGTAAATCACGCACTTGTTCGTTATATATCTCAACCATTTGAACACCAACATCATATGCGATGGAATTTTTTCTACTTTGTGAGATATGGAAAAGATCATTCAAAGCTCGATAATTGACTCCCCAATCCCCTTTAGATGATAAATTAGGACCAGTCTGAGAATAAAAAACATAAGAGTGTAAGATATAATACTGAATCAACATGTATTTGTCTCCATAAATCATAGGAAATGGCACATACCATTGTATAAGTTTTTCCAGAACCAGTTTGACCATAGGCAAAGATGCAAACATTATATCCATCAAGAACAGATCGAATTAATGGTTGAGTGTCTAAAAATACCTCCTCTGCCAGCATATGGGTAATATGAGTAGTAAGTAAAAGTTGTATACCAAATAGGAGCAACTTTCTCAGATTGGAAACAAAGATGAAGAAATAACACCAAACTACACATGTTAAGGGTTAAAATAAAAACCTTGACTAGCTTCTGGACCAAACACCTTGTTAAATTTGAATAGTCGGTGACTGTCTTTCCCTTGTTTCAAGGGATTTGCAACAACCAATTCCCCGTTCTCACCAATATATTCTATGGTCGTCCGTTTTTTACTTTGTCCAGGAAGGAAAGGCCGTATTCGGCAATAAACTCTAATATTTCCTATGCAACAGAAAGATAAAATAAATAAAGCTAAAATCAATGTTGAATGGAACAACCAAGCAATATTGTACCTTTCAAGTCCTGAACCTCATTGTACAACTTCATATTTTCTGCAAGGACTGTATGGTAATTCTCAGCTGCAGCTATTAGTCCCTTAAGTTTCACCCCTGTCCATGGTGAAAGGTTTTACATTGTGAGCAAATGTCGTGCCCATAATAAATGCGCAAGCCTTAGTAATAGACAACCAATCTTAAACTCTCTCCCCTACCTAAGTGATGAAATTCTTCTGAGTAGATCCTTTGTGTCTTCAAAACTTCTCGCTTTATGGATTCAGAAGTCACCCTTAATCCCTAAGCAGTTCAATAACTTCATTCTCAAGTTAAATAAAGAAGCAGTATTAAGTTACAAAAGTGACTGTTGATGCAAACCTGAAGGGATTCAAACTGAGAATCCAGAATGCTCTTGTAGCCGTGTTTTTTCTTTCTCCATCTTAGTGATTTAGATTGTGAAAACACCTCAAGTTCTTTGACCTTATTCCTAGAATCAGTCAAAAGGCACTCAAGTTCCATTAACTTCTTCTCTAACTCCATTTTAGTTTCTGTAGCTTGTGTTTCAAGTTGCAAGCAGTGCTTTTCATATGTATTTTTGGCCAATTCCAGTTCTTGCTTGAGTGCTGAAATTTGAATATCACTGTGATCTTTCTCTTTTGTTAGCCTAAGTATATCTTGCTCATGAACTTTTTTATTCTCCTCAATTTCGGTCTTTTCAATCTACAATAAGCAATCAAAAAAAATATATTAGCTGCAATGCAAGCAGTATCTCACAAGCAACAGACAGGAACATTTTTACCACCAATAGCTCTACAGCTTAAGGTACCTGATTGCTCATTAATTAATACTATAGGTTTTTGCATGAAAAATTATGCCTTCTGAGAACAATCACAAAGATGAGTGGTTGATAAAACATTCTCAAACAGGAAAAATACTAGCAAACCATAATTAACTGCAAGGGACATTGATGGGTAGTTTTTTCTTTCTTTCTTCATTCATTTTCTTTATTTCTTTATTTATTTTGGGTACTAATGAACACTGGATAGCTTTAAGACAAAGGTTATGCTAATGCAGTGAAGCCTGAAAAAAGGTTACAAACTTACAGGACAACAAAACAATGCATAGATTGGAGAAAATAACTATCAATATCCCTCTAAAACAAACAGAATCTTTCAATTCATACTTATGGTATGAATTTTGACTGCGAGGGTGTAATATATTTTAACAAGGAAAATTTTCATCTAAAGACTTTCATGAGGAATAGGGACCACATTTTTTTTGATGATGGAAATCCGTTGATTCTAACATTGAACTCCACTCCATCATGTTGTGCAGTCTGTGCATTTATGGTGCCTTTGAACCTTTAGTCATTCTGAACCTAAACGAAATGAAACCCCAGCAACCAGAGTCTCCTTGGAGGCAAAATATGTCAAAACTAGATATTATTACATCGTACAAATCATAGGAGATGATGCTAGAGGAATTCAAGCACGCCATAAACCTTTGGAAGTGCGAACCATTATTAAATATTAATACAATAGGTTAGTCCAGACATTCTGAAGGCCCAGACTGCTTGGATAACGCATGGCTGAAATCATACTTTTCTGTAACCCAAACTCTTCTGAAGTTGAAATGGATAGGATGGATTGATATCAATTGTTGAAGATAAGGCATGTCTGAAAATAGCAACCGAGTAGTGCACTTTGCATTACTAGAAAACAAACCAAGGACTAGCAATCCAATAACGGCTCAAAGATAAGAATCACACCTTTATCTGCAGAAGCTGATTCATAAAAACCTACAAAAAAAAGCCAAATATTTAAAATTAAATTCGTAAATAAGTAGCACCAGTAAAAGCTTATGTGAACATCCACAATTTTCATCAGAATACCTCATTTTCTTCATAGGTTCCAGTTGCAAGGGTTTCAAGTACTCTCATTCTTGATTGATACTTCTCTTCAAGAACCTTGTAGAGATTGTTTTGCTGCAGGCACTTAGTAATGAGCATTCAGAAGCAGTAAACAAACAAAATCATGCCCCAAGGAAATAATTTTCTAGTACTTTTACCTTTTTTAAATATTCTGCTTGAGTTGAAACCCGCTGCTCAATCTCTTGCACAACTTTTTTCAAGAGAAATGCCATGCACTGAACAAACAGTACAAACCACTGGTTAGAAATTCAATAAATGTAAACTTGGTCCAGTGAATAAAGAAAAAATAAGGCTATGAACATGTGTACTCTAGTGATATAGCATCTATGCACCGTCTAATTGTCATACTTGAGTTATATCTCCAGTCTTTCTTTCAATGTTGTCACCCAGAACCTTGTTCACAACACTGAAAAGTGATCGAGTTGAAGAGTTCTGCACATAAAATTGCTAAACAAGTGTTATTAGAGCAACATTTGCTAAAAAGTTTTTGAGGTACATCAAATTAAATGGGTGACAACATGAGATGTACAAGTAACAACACATATTAGGTGAATTGCATTTGATAAGAAAAAATTGCAAGAAGTTACCTCTAAACTGTTCAGTTTCATCGATTCCAAAATCTTAGCAGCAGGAAGATCAGCATAACATCCTTGCTTGAATTGGAACGCGCCATGGACCTTATTTTCTGTTTCTTCGGCAACACCGCCATTACGAGCTTCACATAGACTGTTGGTTTCCCCATTTTCACTTGCATATACTTCTAGTTCTAGATGTGAATTCATGACAAGAACTTGATAGATACTAGGTTTCACAAATCAATTACGGAACACAGTGCTACAAAGAAACAATTCCACAAAAAAAATTGCCAGTCAGTTTATGACATGTTTTTTTAAATGATTTTAAATAATTTGCAAGCATCAAATGAAGGACCACACTTCATGCAAACTGGAATTGATACAATTCAGTAAATGTGTCAGTAAAAACCACCTGTAAGTATGGCTTAATTTCAGATGAATTGCCTAAAATAATTGTTTTAATCAACCACAAACAGTTGGTATTTACAAATTTAATGCGTTAATTGAATTCCATGCTTATCAAATTGTTGGGGTTTAAAGATCAAATACACAAATGAGACTCTTTTTTTCTTCTTTTTTAAAATTTTTTTTTTTGATTAATGGCATTCTGCATTGCCAAGTATCATTGCATCAGCTTTCACACTGTAGTCAACCCCATTATCTGTGGAACTTTGCTCTTATGTGTGGAATCGGAAGCATTTTTCAAAACTAAGCAGAAGTGGAACTTCCAGGTCACAAAAGTACTTCCAGTTTACAAGCCTCTCCTTTATGCAAAAAAAAAAAGTTCATTTTGAATAGAAACTTCATGCCAATCACCTAAGCCACTAAACAAGCACCTTCATTTAAACCAACCTAATATAGCTCTAGTCTTGTACAATATAGGCAATAAAGAAAGGAACACCAACAGAGATTACACTATGATAGGACTAGAAATATACTACAATCCATGAATTTAGGAGCAATTCAGTCACGAATACAGCACATTTGCAATTTTAGGGATATCAAAACCAAAATTAAGCAAAACATTTACTAATAGTTCCAACAAAACACGTATCAAAATGAACGGAAATCTAACAGATCAAAAAAAAAAAAAAAAAAAAAAAACCTAGATTTCTCAGGTACGAGTAAAGACAAAATGCCGATCAAAATGAGAAAACAACACCAAAACTTTAGGAACTTACAGATCGAGATAATTGGAGCTACGTCGATCGATCCACCAAACCCAAAACGAACGAGAGAGAGAGAGAGAGAGAGAGAGAGATGTGTGATGTGTGTTCGATTTGTTAGATGGGGAGGCGATGATGAGAGGCCATTTTCAGGGCATGGAAATGGAACATAGAGAGTAGTTGTTGAATAATGGGAATGTGTGTGTGGGGTTTTTGTTTGTTTGATTTTGTTGTGTGTGTTTTTGAAAACGAAACTGATCTGTGTTTGTGTTTTTGGTTTAATTGAAATTTGTGCCAATCCTCGTCGTCCCCACCTCCACGAGTTCTGGGAATTGTATTTTTCTAATCCCCTCACTATTTTCTAATACCATCTCTACCTCCTCCTTACCAATCCCCCTTCCAAGGGTATTAGCAATACCAAGGGACTAATAGTCCCAACCCTTTCTCTGCAAACAAACAGAAACTTTAGTAATACCTTGGTATTACTAGTCCCAATACCCTCCCTATAGCCCAAAACAAACGGGGCCTTAGTTCGGCTCATTATACAAACACAAATTTTAAATTACAATTTAAATTTAAAATATTTGACAAATATATAGATGTATAGGAAGGAATAGGAAGCATATCAACACTTGCAAAGATTGTGTTGATGGGTTGGATATGATTTTTTTATTTATTTATTACAAATATAAGGGTAAAAAAATAGAAAATTGATGTGATAGAATTAAGTTAATAAACTAATAAATAGTTTATTTGATTTGTTGCCAAACTCACATGTGGAAATCTATCTATACTATATATATAATCAAATATAATTGTTAAGTCAAAAAACTTCAAAACTTGAATCATAAATTCTCATAATTTTAGAGAAAAATAAATATTACGTGGCACTTCCCTTCATATCCCTTCCCACTCTTCAAGCCTTCTCACTCTCTCTTCCTATATGAAATATAAAATACTAAAATATTGATCCATACTCTCTCTTCCTATATAAAATAATAAAATATTGATCCATACTCTCTCTTCCTATATAAAATAATAAAATATTGATCCATATCCATCACCCACAATATGTTTATCTCAAAATAATAAAATATTCATCCATATCTATCAGCCACAATAATATCTATCCCACTCTCAATCTCAATTTAAAAAAGAAAAAAACCCATGACTCCTACAATTTCCACACACACGTTTCTGTATTTAGTTTATTCCAGTCAAATTCAATTATTCTCTCATCTACCCATCTTTTATTTTCTCATAATAACTCATCTTCTCCATTATTACATTTTGCAACTTTGATAATATGGAAAAATCGTTACAAGATCGGTGTAATATTATTTCTTATTTTATATGTATTTTTTTAGTGTGTATTACTTTGTGTGTATATATTTCTTTTCTCAATATTTTTCAATTCATCTACACATCTTTTCATCTTCTTTATTTCTATGCTCCTAATATTATTTCTTACTTGATATGCATTTTTTCAACGTTTATTACTTTTCTGTGTATATATTTCTTTTTGTTAATATTTTTCAGTTTATCTACATATCTTTTCATCTTCTCCATTATTACATTCAATCATTCTCTCATCTACCTATCTTTCCTCAAAATAACTCATCATCTCCATTGTTATATTTTGCAAGTTTGATGATCTGTGAAAATCATTACAAGGTCAGTGTAATATTATTTCTTACTTTATATGTATTTTTTCAGTGTTTGTTACTTTGTGTGCATATATTTTTTTCTAATATTTTTCAGTTTATCTACACATCTTTTCATTTTCTCCATTTTTATGCTCCTAATATTATTTCTTACTTTATACGTATTTTTCCAGTATCTATTACTTTTGTGTGTATATATATATTTTTTCTAATATTTTTCAATTCATACACATCTTTTCATTTTCTTCATCATTACATTTTGCATGATTTGGGCTTGCTTACTTTTTAATTTGTGATTTGCGTTTATTCTTCAATTTAATCAGATTCAAAAACTCATCAAATCTTGAATTTAATATAATTTATTTTATTTTATTTTATTTCATATCTATCACACAATCACACCCATTAATGGTTTCGCGTAAACTCTCGAAATCAAGAAGATCGGCTCTGCATAAAGTTAATCTCACCTTTGCTCCTTCAAACTCTCTCAAATGAGAGTTCTTCTGATCATCTGCGACCAATATACACCCAATTAAGTACACACACACATAACAACTTCAAAACCTTAAACACAATTTCTCAATTTTAAAATTTTGGCAAAAATAAAAAATATATTTAATTAAATATATTTTATTCTATTAAAACTTTATTAAAAAATAAATTTATTTGCTACTATTCAATAAAATATATATGCCTTTATTTTGATATAACAAACAAAATTAAATTATCTTCTACTCACACATAATTACTCATAAATATCTTATCTTTTTAAAATTTTGATTATCAGCAACCGAATTCCCATATTTCTCTCTTATTTTTTTGTAGGATGTTTATTTTACTTTTATCTTTACTTTTCAAATTAGATTTGATATCTATCTTTTTACCTATGTATATATCTATACTATATATATAAACAAATATAGTGTGTTCTCTAAAATTTTCAACGTCTCAATTCTCAATTCTTAATCAGAGTTTAGATTCTATTTCCTCCATGTCGCTCTCTCAAAGTTATGTTTTTAATTTGTCGTCATTCTTATTTTTCTCCAATAAAAAAATTTCTTTCTCTTAATATTGTTTTTATTTTAAATTTTTTACTTTATCTAAGACTCCTTATCTCTTTTTATTAATTTTTTATTTTGCTTAATTTTCTCCAGTATCTTCATTTATCTTTATTTCTTATTTCTTCCTTTTTAATTTTTTTTATCCTCGATCCTATCATTATCTTCAACTTTATTTTTATTTTATTTTTCATATGATCCCTTTTTGTAATTTATTTTAATCTTTAATCTAATAATTATCTTCAAATTTATTTCTATATGATAATGATCTCCAATTTCATTTCTATCTTATTTTTCAAATGCTTCACACTTTAGCTATATATTCTAACATACCATCGAGTTTTTTTAGTGTTTGTATATTGGGTATAAAGTTTTGTTCAAACTCTGCATTTAAGATTCGAGTTGCATTCAATCATCAACAATGTCACAATTGGTTAGGCAGTATTCATTTTTAAATTTTTACATTATTTGTAATAGTACCCATTTTTACATTATTTGTTTTTAAAGTTATAATAATGTCCAATAGAAATATAGTTCATGTTGCTAAATGACCTACTTGGACTAAGATAATTTTATAAACAATGTTTCAAATGACAAATTTATGGAAAAAAATGAATGTATGAACTTAAGTATTAGATAGTTATCATATTTAAAATATTTGTTAGTTATAACTCCCTATTATATTTTAAATTTATAAGATTTTTTTATTTTATAATAAAAAAATGAGTATAATAAATTATTTAAATTATACATTCCCGTGCATAGCACAGGTTGCCACTAGTAATATTTGGTTTGAATGTGACATTTTATCTAATTAATTTATTTATGCCTCATTTGGTATGTGATTTTTTTAGCTAAAAAATTAAAAAGTTAATAAAAAAATCAAAAAGTCATCCCAAATATACTAATTTTTTTACATCATATTTTAGTCAAAAAATTAAAAAGTTACTAAAAAAACTGTTCCCAAACAAGGCCATCTATTTTTTCTTTTTGTACTTTTTAGTCCAAACTAATTTCCAACTAAACGACAACATGGTATATATAATTAGCAGTTAACATATGTGATATATGCACAATTTAAATAAATAAAAATAAAAATAAAAATAAAATGATAAAAAAAATTAATACGATAATATGTGTATAGTTTAAGTGGTAAAAAAAAAAAAATTTAGCACCAAGGTCTTAGTCTTCTTTTGGAAAGAGCTAAAATAATATTATTTTTTAGCTATTTTAGTCTGACTTTTTTAGCCTCATTTGGTTTTTATTTTTGACTTTTTTGACTTTTGTGAGAAAAAAATGTAATGATTATGGTTTGGATGTGACATTTTGTCTTATTAGCTTATGTAACCAATTTTGTCTTTTGTGTTTTTTTAGTCAAAAAACCAAAACCAAACATAGCTTTAGTTTCAAATCTGTGATAACCAAACCAGTACCATGCTTAATTATGTATGTGGTTATGTGTTAAATATAAATTGTAAGTATGGGAAATATGTGAATTTAGAAAAAATATTTATTGAAAGTGGGAATATATGTTGCAATTGAAACTTTGAACTGAACTTGAAGGCCTTAAAAGCGCGATAAACAAAAACCGATTTCATATCTATGATTAGCATGATTTATAGAGTTTACGGTGAAATTTTGAAAAATTACAATTCGTAATGATTAAAACATCTTTTATGAGTTGGGTCATATATGTGTGCTTAGCCTATTATTCTTCATTGTTACTTAAGAGCTCTAGAGAGTGAGTTAGAGAGAGAAGAAGAAGAGAAAGCCAGGGATTTGCAAAAAATCAAGGGGCAATCTTTAGAATTGAGTTAAAGGTATGTTAAACTACGTACAATATTTGTCTCTAACTCATCTTTGTCTTGAAATCAAGAAGAAATTAGGAATTTGAGCTAGGGTTTTGAGTTGTATGGTGGCTTGAGCTAAAGGCATGAAATTGAACCCTAATCTCTCCATCTTTGTTTGATTTAAGTTCACTCTTATGATTAACCCATAAAACAAACCCTAAATGATTTATGAAAATAAGATTTGTTGGAAGATTATTCATGGATTATGTGTTTTGAACTTGTTTATGTAATGTATGAGTATGGGAAAGAGATGAGTCCATGAATATGTTGTTAATGCAAGATTGATATATTTAATGTGGAATTACACTTGTATAAGGTTAGTATTTCATGTTTTAAAGGAAGATTACATGAGATCTTGGCTTGAAATTGGGTTTGAAAACTCTTTGATGAATTTTCGGATTGTTTGATTTTGCCCAGGCTGCACGAGCAGCCACAGGCTCCTCACGACCGAAATATGAACAAAAACAAGAAATTGCATTCTACTTAGACCACAGCTCGAGCGGCCCATTCACCGTACGAGCGGTCAAAGTGGGCACACTTATGGCCAGCCTTGTTTTAGCTTATAGCAAGTAACTTCAAATAAGTATATCTCCCTCATCTGGACTCCGTTTTAAGAAATTCTTGAGCCTAAATTCAAGCTCTAGAAGTCTAATTTCTAATGGTGGTGGTCTCACATCCAAATTCTAAGTACACAAATAGGTATGCTCAAATTAGTATAGGCTATTTATTTTCTTTTAATTATTTAATGA